GAATTCTCGAGTCCGTAAAATCGTCATAGGTTACATTTATCAATATTTGAAATCTGTCAACAGGAGAAGGCGCGACTCGAATTAATCCCTAAATAAAACATTAAGCAAAATATTATCCAACAAAAAGTAAACATTCTTAAATAGTAGAATTGCAATATCCCAACAGTAACAAAATTATACGATATATTGAATTAAGTTTAAGTTTATAAATAAAGCAATAAGGCAATAAGTAAAGATATCACCTTGTACGGGTTCATAAGTATTAAGTCCCATGGCTCCTTAGCAGGTGAGTTTGAAAATATTTCATCCTGATCAATAAGAATCAAGTCATTTAGTGCAAAAGCTATAGGAATTATACGTAAAGATAAAAAAACGAGGGGAAGTAGGTGAAGGAGATTTAGAGAAGCCATCTCAGAAACGCCAGCAGATAGCCATATTCACGATCAAATAAATGGTCATTCTGGAGGCAAATATAATTGATTGAATATAAGACAAAAATCATAAAATAAAATTATAAATAAAGTTTTATTTACAAAAAATAAAAAAATAAAGAATAATTTTAAATGCGATTTGTATATTTTAAAACAAATTTTTGTATCGGTTATGACTTATGAGATCTTCGGGAATTCCGAAGGACAATATTTTGCTGTTAGACCACAGTCTACCAAGCAAGATTCACAAAGTTCATATATATATATTCAACCAGATGGAGGAAGGCATTATAGACCTACGAGAGCGAGATCTGCAAAGGCCGATATTGAAACAAATAAGCGTGATACTCTCCAATTATATATCAAAAACGATGGAGAATTTTCCATCTTACTTTCTCAAATTCCTGATTGGAACCCTTATGTTAAAATTAAAGTTATAGAACTTTCTAAATCAATTTACGAATTCTTGCTTGAAGCAGCTCCCTTTTTGAAATCTCTTGACTTGACAGGACTTGAAATATCTAATCTACCTTATTCGCTTTTCCTTCGCTTAACAAACAATTTGGAATCCTTGTCCTTGACAAAGAATAATCTTACTGCACAGAGTCTTCGTAACATAGAGCCATTCCTACCATCCTCATCTTTTATTAGCATACGTGATAAATACGGCTTTGATTTAAGTAATAAACCAAATACTTTCAACTGGATACAATTCTTGCGCGAATTCGAGATAGCAAGGAATAAATTATCAGGATGCTTTTCTATCGAGCTGCTTTCTTCATTTTCTCAACTCAAAAGATTTAATTTTTCTCACAATCGAATAAATACTCTTGCTGGCCTTGACAAACTTCAAAAATTGCAAATATTAATTGCGGACGATAACGACTTATCAAACATACATAAGGATATATTTAGCCTAACATGTTTGGAAATGCTATTCTTATCTCGAAATAGAATTTTTCAGGCAATTAATGGCTCTGGGGTTCGAAGACTTCAGCACATGACGTATATTGATGTTTCTTACAATGCCTTGGCGAGTCTCCCCAGCGATCTATTTTTATTATCATCTATAGAGGTAATACAGGCTAGTCATAATAATATTGTTCAACTTCCGAACATCCAAACTAAAGCAAGAATAAATAAATCGCACATCCATTTGATTGATCTATCGTTTAACTATATAAATCGCTTTCCTGAAGCAATTGTGCGTATTTGCAACAAATTTGACATAAGTAATAATAACTTAAAGGTGATTCCGGCATCAGTTTTTAAATATATTACGAACATCTCTAAGACAAATGAAAAGAAGCCTATCGGACTTTTTCATATGGATGTTCAGCATAATCCATTAAATTGGCCACCCGCAACAATCGCCAACTTAGGCATGGATGCAATGCTGCAGTATTATTATGAAACAAAAATTGAATCAAAGTCCTTTTTTGGAGCAAAATGTCTTTTCGTTGGAGCAAAAGGGGCAGGAAAATCTAGTTTAGCGATGAGCATCGTTGATAGCCAAAGCCGGTTAACTGATTTGAGTGAGGAGATTACCCACGGAATCGATATTCGGGATATCATATTTGATGCTTCTGGCTTAGAACAAGAAGAAACGATGGATTCTAAAGAAAGCAAGCTGTCAGAATACTCTGATTATAGTAATGATGGCCATCCAATTACTTTGTCTATTTGGGATTGCTCCGGTAACCCAAGCTACAGATCTCTTATAACTCATTGTTCCAAGCTTCCTGCCATAGTGGCAATTATAATTGATTTAAGCAAATATCCGCTGGGTGAAATCTCTGAGTTAAGAGAACTTAGTGACAAGAATCTATTTTATGAACAAGTAGGTTATTGGCTTGACATGTTGCTATGGACGAATAACCATATTGTTGCTTTGATAGTAGGGAATAAGGCCGATCTTTGTAATGAGCCAACACGTTTACAAACTCTATTAAATAAAGCATTCTCTGATTCAGTAACTTATGCAAACGACCGAGTTCGACGTATAGCTGAAGAAATATACAAAATAGAAAGCTTACAGCACATTTCTCCTGGAGTAGCAGAACAATATCGCAAACTCGTTCTCATGAACCAGTCGCTGAGTATCTCGTTTTATCCTAGTCCGCTTGCTACTACTTGTGTTGACACTCTAGATGGTCAAGAAACCTTAAAGCAACTCTGTAGAGCCATTATTTATCTGGCTGCAAAAACACCAGGCGTATCTCCTTTCTGCCTAAAGCAGATTCCTTCCAAATGGGCTGATGCTGAAGCCTTCTTTGCTGAGCTTACAAATGAAAATTACATTGGCGGAACTTCTTGTAGTAAATATGTAGATCAAGGTCCACTTATGAGCTTCGAAGTATTTGCTTCAATGAGTTCAATTCACTTCTCAATACCCCCGTCAACCATCTTTCCACTTGCGCAGTATCTCCATGATATTGGAAAAGCATATTGGCCAGAGGCAATGATTTCACGAAGTGAACACCTGAATCTGATAGAACTGAGAGTTTTAAATGGCATTGCACCAAAGCAACTGATTTGTGTTTGTCCAAGTCTTCTGTTGGAATGCATTAGCTTGCTTGTCAGATGTGATCTTTCAGAAGTTTTGGACGGCTCTAAAGGAAATAAACAGTTTCTAGAGGCTGTCTTAAATCGGCTTAGATCTGCTACAGGAGCTGGTGCACAAAGGCGGCTAAAACAAGCAATAGAAGAAATAATTAAGGGAAATGGAATACTTGGTGCTAATTTGTGGACGGCTATAGTTGAGTCTAGGCATCTTTATATTTTAGAGTCATATCTTCCTATGGGGCAACTCTTTCTACAATTCATATGGTTCTATATGGAATTGGCCTATCCAGTTTTAGTTACCCAACCATTTGGACAAATCGTAATTTATGAAAAAAGAGAAGAGTTAAAAGCCGGAGATTTTATCATAAAAGCAGTAAATATGTTTTACAAAATAAGCGATTTTTAGTTTTCATTTATTCTTTACTCTAAAATCACTGTTAGTAAAAATCACCAAGGTTTAAATTTTTCTTCATAGCTACCTAGGCTGAAGCTGTCAATAAAACTTGACACTGCTTCTGCCTTCTGCGCATGGTTATCAAAATATTAATGAGTCATACTTCTTATCTAAGCACTAATTAGATATAAACTAAATTTCATATTAGAAAGCACTAGGTGCTTTGTTTTAGCACTTCTTCGTTTGCCTCCAGTTATAATATATAAAAAGTATCATCAGAATTTACTCTCAAAGCTTGTGCTCTTAACCAACTTATTGCATCATGCACAAAAATATATGCTTTAGAAAATATTTTGTCATACATGTTTTGGCATTAGACAAGCAAGTCTTTTACTAGATCTGTCATGTATAATGTGCTTTTTCAGCATTATGCCACGTTTCTGACATAATATTAGTTTATCTGTTTAGCAAAAATTTTGAAAAAAGTCGGTCTATTAATAGACTTTTAATTATAGTAGGGCTTCTTGAATAAATAATTAAAGTTATTATATACCCAGGAATAGAAACATTCTTTTACGTTCTTATAAACCTATATAGCTAGTGGAGTTTACGAAAGATGTTTTTTATGGAAATAATTTCACTCTAAATTACTTGAAAGAGTTAATAATAATGCAAGCTGATCATTGTTTTCAAAGTACGATTAACATTTAATTGGGAACTGCTTATTCGAACTGTCATCAAAATAATCATCCTGTATCAAATAAATGGTCTGATGCTGGGGATTATCATAATCATCATAGCAAAGATATATGACTGCGTACATTCTACAAGGTGCCCCTATTGCCTTGACCGAATTGTAAGAATAAGATTATGCAACTTTAATTTTAATACCCTTTCCATTCAACTCTAATGGATGATCATCTTAAAAATATTTCAACATAAAAAACGATTAAATTTCTCAAAGTAACTTATGACTATGCACATGATTATTGAATACCAAGCTGAGGCGTAAACAATGCATTTAAAAAATTTTTTAGCCACCAAGCCCAGCAAGCGAAGCCTTATATATGGCTACTCAGTTTAGGAATAAAGGAAGCAGCGATGCCGAAAGAGACAACTACGATAAATCTATAAGGAAAAGGGACAAATTTAGAAAAACAAAGTGAGTAACATTCAAAATTATGAATTAATGTTTATTGCGTCTTAAAAAATTAGTTCATTAAAATATTTTCCGAAAATAACCTTTAGGCCATTCTTAATACAGAGTAACACCGCTTTGTGAAATTATATGCATATTGCCAGAATAAATGAGTTTTTGTAGAGCAAACTTAGTAAATTTGTCTGACCAATAAGGACTGGGATTTTTTTTGATGTGACTATACACGTACATTCTCCCATCGAGTATCGTTAAGCTTATATAGGCCATAAATAAGAATAGTAGGAGTTGAAAGAGATAAATGAATGCTGCACAATGGTGTAGAGAAGAAGGCTTTGGCCAGAGCCGGAACCTTAGCATCTTACATGACAGGGATCAGAGCACATGCATTATGGATGTTTGTGGAAACCTGCGAGCTGAAAGAGAAAAAGAGAACGGCTGCCTTCAGGGCAATGACTGCATATGGACTCCTGCTTAAATCAGCGAAATGTCTATATATATATATAGAATATTAGGTGGTGAATATGGACATAAGTTTGCTTATGTCCGTGTAAATGAGACGCATTAAAATTTTTTGACAAATTTAAAAAGAAAGCCTAATGTATGAAGTGCTTCAACCTTCTTCATGGCGATTCGAGTTAGCAATAGAAAGCGGCATCTCGAATTCAAATAAATGTACACAACGAAAAATCTGGGGCCTCTTAACAAAAGGGGATTAACTCCAGAATATTACCATACAATATTCTAGAGACAATAAAGTTACGTCACTTATTATTCACTAAGGAGACCTAGTACTACGAAGGACAGTTTCATTTTTACTATAATACAGTTTGCTTTTCTTGAATTTAAAGTGAATATTTGCGATGTATTGTGAAAGGCGTAATAAGTGAAGAGTTAGCTTTGTAATTAAGCAAAATATCACAAAAGCTTTGACACAAGCCATAGATACATTTATTTGACATTTGCAGCCAGCATTATTTCCACGTATTTCTGCAAATTGCAAGCCCACCGCTATTTTTTTCTAGGCTAATAACTTCCGATTCAGCTACCGAGAATGTTGAACGATTTGGCCTTCCAAGTCTTTTGTTCCCATGCCGAATAACCGCAACGATTGAGGGAGACGTTTACTTGAACAGTCCGTTTGAATCCAGTGGTCTAGAGGGTGACTACGATACCAGCCGTCATCTTCAACTGGTGAATAGGGTATGGCAGGTTGCTGGAGCATCTGGCCCTACACCGATCTGCTTGGTTTATAAATTTCCAATTGGGCTACCGGAGGAGTGTTTTCTCCGCGCTAGTGTTCGTTTAAATTGGCCAGAAAAGCTACAGGCAAGTGAGATATATATACCTTTTATGAAGTTTACAAAACATTTTGAGAAATGGAATTCAATGAGTACATGATTAAGAAGAGTTAGGAATGTTGATGGATTTAGGTGCATTAATTAGATTACATGCGAGAATGATCACTCAATCCTGAAGCCCCAAGAGGTATTTTACTATGGTTCTCGTGTGTCGCACGTGACTCACAATACTAGTCACGAGTCTCATTAGCATAGCTGACGTCAATGATCTGACCTCGAAGCCACTATTGATACCCGATTATATCATCATTACAGGTAATCGTATATGTTTGTAAACCCAGGGTCTTACTCGAATGAGATAAAATAACTTTTGAACTATTCTCTTATACTTTCAAATTAATGTGAAAAGGTGGAACTTAGAGGGTTTTTTTTCCTTGAGGCTAGAAAGAGGATTTAAGACGAACTGATTAGAATATCTTGTTAAACTCAGCAATATGAGATGTGTTCACCCTATTTCGTTTAATGTAATGAGGGACTGACAGTTGGATTTTCCCACAATGATATCAGTAGAGCTGTGTTTTCATTGAATTTCACATAGCCTTGCTGTTCACGTTCGAGGTGAACTGCAGTTTTGACCTCGTCTATGCCCAAGTAGCACCCCTAGCGGGAATCGAACGAGGACAGTGCAGCGTGTCATCTCGATACGTTAACCACTACACCACAATGCCACGGGTGCCCTTTGATCATAGGGCAGATGTTAATTTAAAGGAAGGCTAGACATTTTGCCATATCACATTTTGTGGTGAGATCGCCGATGAAACAAACGTATATTTGCTATTGCTATTGACGACAATGCCTATTTTTTCTAAGATCGAAATTGCAGTTCAACCTGGATGAAAGTATCTTTTGGGAGACGAAGGTAGTATTAATATCCTTGTGACAAAATTCAACTGCCATGTCATTATCACTTTAAACTAAATAGGGTGAACACATCTCATTAATCTGATTTACTTGTAGATTTTAAAACCTACTCAAAAAGTAAAAATAAGCTTAGCGGCTCTTGTCGCAACGGCTTCCGGATCATGAGCATCACAAACTTGTCATCCGTTCGTAGTAGGACTCTGAAATAATTTCTCCGGGACAATGAGGCCAAGAACGCATTGCTTGAGCATTTTAAGGGATTTTATATAAACTTGTTTCCTGATCTAAAGAAATACTTGATTGCAATTATTTATGGTGAATATTAAATGGCTAGCTATATTTAGTTCCTATACAGCCCATTGATGATAGCTTTAATACTGCTTTATTGTGAAGTTCTCTATTGTTTAGGTTATTTCAGGGTATAAATATGTTGTCACAATCGAGGCAAAAATGGAAAAAAACTGCCATTTTTTATTTGGAAAGATATTATAGGATAAAAACTTGAGTAAAATACTGGCAGTTAATTATGAGGCAATTTAGGGAAGGATTTGTAAAACGCTTTATCTGCCTTAAACCGGCCGTTTAACGAGCTACCTTCAGAGGGAGATTTTTCACGTAGTGCAGTACAAAATATCCTTAACTACATATTCTTGGGTCTGCACACAAGTTGGCAATTGATTACTATTATTTACTAGCCAAATTTCGTCATAATGGAGATGTCTTAAGATGTAAACTCCGATTTTACAAGATACCAATCCTTTTTCAGTTTAATTACATTGGCCACTGGCACAAGGGCGTTCAGATGTGGCATTCAGCGACTAGACTTCTTCTCAGATTGACACAAAAGCGCCTTGACGATGGCGAGGAGGCGATCCTGTTTGAGGTGCGCGCTCTTACAGATGCATTAGCTGATATTAAGTCACGACAACCAGAGGAGCCGGTCGTGGAGGATACTGTGAAAGAGAGTGCTGACGGTTGTCCTGGCGATGGCTGTTATAAGCAGATTTCAGAAAGCGTTGAGTCGAAGGTTGCTGAAAAAACGGCTGAAGCAAGCCTGAAGCGCAGACGTTGGCGCAATTGGCCGATCTCGATAGCCGAGGTCTGGGATCTGATTCTGCCTGTGCTATTGTGCTTCGAGAATCTCCTCTCAGGCTTTCCAGGTAGATGTGCACATTTAAAGAAGTGAAAAATACCCAGGCAGCATTTTTTTGCAAATATTTTCGCTCGTGCCTCTAGGACTCACTTCTCTAGGATATGATTGATATATGCATGCACAGAGTAAAATCTTGAGTCCATAGTCGGTGCAAGTTTTCATCAAATAGTACAGAATAATTTAATGACATTGGGGAATCC